GTATGAGAAGTGAGAATTTGTTACAATTGATATAAATCATTCGATTCCGAGGGGTTGGAAGAATGGGTTAGGTTTGTACGATTTTATGAGGTAGACTTTAATAATAAATTATAATATAAACTAACGTCTTTTGGAGAAAATATTAAGCTTTAAGGACGTACCATCAAGAAAAATGTCTATTATTTTTATTAAAGAATTGCAATAGTCATATCATTACAGATAAGGGATTGGTAAAATAATTATAATTATACAGATAAAGAAATGAGTGACTGTTTTTTTAGACCAAGAATAACATTAAAGATAGGCAGGCCGGCAGAGAGAGTTTCAATTTAAAGGTATAGACCAGTTTTGGAACCCCCCCCCCCCCCCTTTCAAAAATATGAAATGAAAGCTCTTATTACCAATCAAGTAAAAGGATATGTTTTGACTAATACGTGATGATACAAATTTGCCGGGAAACCGCCTACTAATTGATATATTTGGTAAATTATCATATCTATCCGGCCTGGATAGATATCCCGTAGTCCCTTATACATCTTTCTGTGTACAGTGCCTGTAGCTTTACCAAGACTGAGCCAAATTTCTTATGCTTTTGATGATTCCTGAACCTTGCAGTAGCCTACACACCAATACGTATACTAGGTATAGCACACCAAAAGTAAGTACAACAAACACATGTTATTTGATGATTGCAAATGATCAAGCTTTATGAAAGCTTCAAAAAACAAAAAACAGAATTGAAATCGGTCAATGCGTTGGGATTTTATACCATTTTTTTTAATCGCAAAATTGCTGAAAAACCTGCCAGAAATGGTCAAATTGGCAAAAATGGCAAAATTCGACAAAGTTGACAACTTAATTCATCACTTTTTCGGACACAAATACTAAATTTAATTATCAGACACTAAAATATCATCTTTGTGAAAAAAAAATAAAAAATTCATATATCTATTACCGTTTTGAAAACAGAAGCCAACAAAATGAGTAATTATTGCCATTTTTGCGAATCTGTAGATATGAAAAAGTTGTGAAAATAACTAAGTCCACCTATTTAATATGCGCATATGTAAGCAAATCAAAACCGAACATGATACATCAGTGAAACCTATGTATATCAGACAGGTATGGAAATATTTTTTTAAAAATCATGAATATTCATCAAATATGCAAATTAGGTCATTTCAGCTAATTATATATTCGCGCACTAATTATGCGAATTAGGAAAGTCAAACTATTCATTTTTTGGGCATTTTTTAAATCATATATTCATAATATAGATCATATTTACTCCAAATATTAACCTTAAATTCCAAATATTTTTGCAATGCCAATAAAATATGGCGATGGAAATTACTTGGATCACCGTCACAGCTATTTTCTCATGTGTTTCACAAATTATTCAGAAAAACCGATCATATGATAAGAATTTGTAGACTTTCAGCTACATCACAGTATATTTGGCTATTTAAAATATGTCAGATTTGAGGATTTATGACGATTTTCCGAGAAACCATTCAAGAGGCCATAAAATTCCACAGGGACTGAAATTTAGAGTACCAAAAAGTTTGGTGACCCTAGTACAGTTGTGGCTACCTTCATTGTAAATAACAAATTGATTCAATGAGTAAAACATATGAGGATATTGCATTGTGTTGGGGAGTTTTATACATTGAGGCGCATTTTCACCACGCAGAATAGCAGTGCGAGTCAATGGGCGATCAGCGAGCCATGTCACACATGGCTGAAAAGACAATATTCTTATTAAATAATTTAACATATATCCCAATTAAATTTAAAAAAATATTGTTTAGTTTTTTTAAAAATAAATTTACAAAAATTGCTATTTCTACCAACTGACTGCTGTTGTGTGTGTGTGTGTTCGCGGGGCAGACTGTGTGCACAGGCAGCGTGATCACCCTACTTATATGCTAGATGATCAACCTTTTCTGATCGATTCTATGTTTCTTTCACAATGCAATCGCATGACCAGAACTGGTCTACACTTTAAGTTAGGCCTACTACATGGGGCAAGATTTGTTGAAGTTAAATCATCATCATACTGTAAACAGGAAAGGGAAACATATTCACATATATTTTTGTCTTTTTAAATGTTAAATTGATATGGAAAGCTATAGTACATTGTTTTGACTTAGATAAAAACAAACAACTTAAATTGGCGAGATATATATTTGTTGGCTTGTGAGATACTCAAATAAAATAAAAAAATTGTAACACTATCAATTTTATTGTAAAATATATTTTATTTGTATTAAGGAAAGAGGGTGTATTACCAACCATTAATAACATAAAGAAACTCTTATTGGATTATAAGGATCAAGAAAAGAAATAGCAATTAAAATTGGGAAATAAGGGCTACACTTACAAAACTTGGAAACAGTAAAATTAGAATAAGATTTAAATTGTAAGGCAGTATAGAAAAAACCCTATATCCGCGATGTTTCTCCCGTGAGCTGGTAACATTTTAGAATATTGATAATTATGTATTTGTATAAAATATTTCTAAAGGAATGTGAGCAGATTTCCAGGACAGGTAACATCAAGTACAGAGTATGCAGGGGTTAATGTTGTTGTTGATTTTATTTAGACATGGTAAAAACACACTTTCAGCCAAAAAGGCTGTATTTAGTATGTCCGTGTGTATGGTACTACACAAATAAAATTGAGAACAAAATTACCAACAAACGTATTTCAAAACATAAAGCATTACATATAAATGAGTGATTAGTTATATAGAGTTTTACATTATAGGTCCTAGGGTGGGATGGATGGGGGTGTAGGGGGTAAAGGGTGATTCTCTTCTTTTTGTTTTAGTAGGATGGGTGGTGGTTGGGGGTTGAGGGTGTTTTTGTGTGTTTTTTTCTTTCTTTCTTTTTTCTTTCTTTTTCTTGGCTTTAAAAAAAAAATCAAGATTTTCGTTATTCGTACGTAGTTCATAATTATGTGATGTATTTTGTTTTATGTATGTTATTTCTTTTCTGTAAATAGAGCATCCATGTATATAATGCAAGATTATGTTCACGAAATTGTTATTGATGTTTTTATCTGCTTATTTGCAGGAATAATACATTAGCAAAATAAAAGTGTGTGTGTGCATGTTAGTGCATGTAGGAGCATGTGACTGGGTTTTACAGACGTGTGCCAATCATGCATGATCAATTGGGTCTCGGGACCGAACTCTTTAACAATAACCGTCACAAGAAGTCTTAATTTTCATGTTTATGGAACTGGTCATAACAAGCAGTTATTTAATATGGGTTCAACATGAAAAATCCTTGGTTATGGGGAAATATTCCCCTTCATTTTTTTTTTAAGTTTTCGCCCTCAAACCTCAAGAAGAAGACAAAGTGAAAAAGAAAGAAAGCATCAGCGAAAAATGACGACGGTATAACTTTAAGACAAAGTAACACTAACCCGGACATCCTCATACATCTATCAAAGTTGTTCGGCAGAAATGATTAGGCTTTCAAGACTAACAATAAAACAAATAAGAGGATTGTGTCGCCAAGAAAAAAATATTGTGTACCAGTTCAAGTTTGGGAGGCATACATAATATTCATTTGTTTAAGTTGTGGAAGAAGAAAGCACAGCAAAGAAAATTTGATAGCAAGAAATCAGAAATAATACAGAGATAGTCCTACTATATGCGATCACATTAATGTTTTCATTGCATGTGTATTATATATACATTTCTTTTATATTACATTTTGTATTACATATACAACGAAACCACCCCCTTTCCAATGAAAATAAATAGGAGGTGTTTAATTTCTTACAAAAGAAACGAGAAGTTGTGGCAAAATAACATCACCTACCGTCACCGACTCATCCAAAGGAGTAGCTCCATATCAATTTGAGTGTTTCAACACGGTCAATACATTTGTGCATCTAGAGACGCCTCAGTCAGAATAGAGTCAGAGACTGTCTGAGGGTTTGCGTCATATATCACCATATGGAACGAATATAATAATAATCGCGCCCAACTTCACACGTTGAATAATGAAAAACACCCTAATTACCCGATAATATAGACATCTGGGAGGGAACCCTTTGTTGTTTGAAGGCTAGCAATCCTTTGTGCGTGAACTTGGCGCGTCAGCGCCACTTCATTTTTTACCCCATTATGCCCCCCCCCCCCCCCAAAAAAAAAAAAAAAAAAAAAAAAAAAAATCAAAAAGGATTGACGCCCCTGGCCACTAAACATTGGTTCCCATGGATATAAATTAGGTGTTTAAGAACCTGTCCGCAGCAGCCACATGTCTATTAAGGCAATTTTTCACCCTGGGTAGCCATTACCGTGCGTCCCAAAAAAGACTCTACACTTTTGAAATGGCTGCCGAATAAAAAAATATATAATTTTGGGGAAAAGTTTTATATGTATGAAAAGCTCATAAACTCAACTTTCATATGCTTGGGTGAGCACTGCTTACTTTTGTAAAGGGTATGAAAATTAGTTGGTGCAGGGATTAGCCTTCCAATTTGTGAGAGGTAAATCCTTTGGGCTTACAAAATTGAGGATGATATGATACATTCATGATTTGCTGAGTGAATCTCATGGTTTATTAAACCAAACTTTTATGCATGAGTGAACAGGAATTGCATTTTTTATTGTAGCATTGTAACTTTCCCTGGTAGACTCAGTGGTGTGTTCATGGGAGTCAGGATGGGGTGATGGTACATGTTGTAATTTCCGTGTTACAAATGTTTTTTTTTTTTTACATCTGTGACTTTGAATGAAAACCTTTACCCCACATTTCAGTTACCATTAGTGAAGAATAAGTAGCCGACATCTTGGACATTCCTTTTTTCAACAAACCGTATTTGAATATTCAATTTACATAATCCCTACCTGGGTATTAAGTAAATCAATGAGATGTTTAACTAATCTTACAATAATTGAAATGTGGGGTGAAGGTTTTTATACAAATTCACAGATGTAAAAAATAACAGTTCGTAATATGGAAATTACAACACATGTATGACGCAGTAATCGCCAACACGACAACCACTGGCGATCGGGAAATTGGCGGCTTACTGAGAAAGACGTCTGAACTCTAGACATTGAAACTGTTACAGGTAAATTTTCTTTTTGAATGTGATGGAATAACTTTAAAATAAGTTCTAATAGTAATTGTTTTCTTTATTTAATTTGTCACACAGCATCTGGATGTCACCATGCCTGTGTCTCTCGGTGAGTGGCGTGTCAGGATTGGCACGTTTATACGTCGGCGGAAGAAAGAATATGACTACAACTACTTTTCGAGGAAACTTTTCAACTTGATCAAAAGAGCCAAGAATTTTCAGTCACCCGAAGAAAACAACTCAGAATGTAATACTTCTCAGACTCAGTCACAATGTGACGGTCCAGAGTGTGATGCTGTCAAGGAGAGTGGATCCTCGTGTGATGTTAAAAGCCCCGGACCTAACGAGGTCTCTCACTCTGAGTCTTCGTGCGCTGAAAACAGTAGTTCTCCAACAGCAAATGAGACCAACCCTCTCCATGATACCACTGACGTTCAGAACCCAGATCCCCGACCATGTACGGAAGATACAGTGGACAATAAAAACATAGCCATTAATCTCATGTCACCTGACTACCCCACCAAATCCTCTCAAATAAGTAAAACAGACCAACCCGAAGTTGGCACATCAGAGTCGTACTCACATGTACCTGCAGCCGTTCCTGGTGAGCCAGCTCGTATCAAACTACACAAGGAGGAGACATCAAACTCTACACCGTCGAGGATAGAGGACCAATCATTGGGCTTATCGCCTAAACCCAGCCAAGATACAACGAGAAATACCGAGCAAACAACACCATCTATCAAGGTATGATTGCGATTTTTTATGTATTTCCGAGAACCACCCCTCTCACATGAAAACAACAAACAAACAGACAACTTTACAGTGCATCTCTGAAAATAAAGAAAAACGATAAAGAATTCAATTGGTTATATTCAACAAACTGTGAGCTGTATAATTATACTTCTTTGCTTTCCATAAAGTAATAGGCTTTCAAATAATACAATGATCGCATTAATCTTCACTGTGGAACATTGTTTTGAATCCATTTTTCCGGATTTTTGTAAGCCGTGGAAACGTTAATATCGCATGCGAACATGTCGTAAATGAAATGTAAGTGTGAAAAGATGATTAGGGTAATGTGCAGCAAAAGAAACAAAGGCAGGGCCGCACACCACAAGATATTCCCCCGAAACAAAACAAAAAATAGCCCTTGAGAAATGAATAGTTCGTCTTTTGTGGTTGAAAAGGGTGCACTTCCTGAGAGAAAAATGACACATTATGACCCATTTTAGTACAATAAATATATACCCTATTTACCCTTAACATCGACATTATCTCCACTGTCCATTTTTGTTGTTATAATAGCATAACTCTTGTCCTCATTACCAAAGAAACATGTTAAATCAATCTTCGTATTAGATTTTAAAGTTTTTGTTTCTCTCAGGTCATGTGATCCTAACATTTTTAAGGCTTTAGCCAAATCTTGCACTATTGGATTTTGACACGAAACTGTCAAAAACTTTTGCTCAGTGGAGCGTGTATGGATTAATATAATCATTGTATCTTTTGAAAGCATACAGCTCATAGTTCACAATAATCATTTTTTGGAGGGTTTCATGCTTTTTTGTGTGAGACGCACTGTATATGATATTTCTTTTTGTCATGTTTGTAAGAAGGACTCTTTTTTTGAAAGAGTTATAAATGAGAACGATCTAGATTGCTATGGAGATTATATTTTTGACGTCCATTACACTGTAATCAATAGTTAAAATGCCCTTTACTCTTAGATAAAAAAAAATATTCATTCGTGATTCTATATACTTGTATCATGGTCTTCTTAACAAAAAATGTCTGATCATCCTTTTCAAAACTTTCTTCCGTCCGTAATTGTCCTCCAGAAAGTAAGGGAATATCATGGATCACCGACCTTTCCGGTCCTCGGATCAGGGATAACTAGCGGTAAAGCAGATGCAATCAAAGGGAATGGCTGTCCAGGCATGAACAACATACTCCTATTGAGATCCGGTGACGTAGAACGAAACCCTGGTCCTAACGATAAGTAAGCAGCATGAAGAGTAACTAAATGACGATTGAATTCCATTATTCTATATTCTACTAACCCGACTCTGGATCTAAAATCACGTTTACCGAACGATAATTCAATTATACCTCAGAATAATTTCCTTTGTTAATCCCGAGGCTGAACAAAGCGTCAGGTTTGAATTTACGTAGAATAACTGCAATTTACTTGCTGGTAAACATTAATCGTTTCCATTGATGAATGAAATCAAAATGTGTAGACATTTTGCATATTCTCATAATTTTTAACAGGACCAAATATCTTTTAATATTTTGTAGTGTTGTTGGAGTGGCAGCATTATAGGTAATGTGAATAATTATCATAAAACAGAAAACAGTGAATTCGCTATATGAATTTAATCACATATGGCTCCGTTTAGTCTCATTTCACGACGCCCCTATCGTCAGAGCATGGTCAGCGTCAGCAGCCTAACATGTTAGCCTATGGACGTTTTTTTAAAAAATCGTTAAAAAATTCATTTTTTTTGTTTAAACGAAAAGCACATCCACCCCGACGTACGTTATCACTAGCTCTTTCATTTGAGCCCTCATGTCTCATTGACTTTTGAAAGTTCACCCACCGTAATTTTTCAAAATAGGTTGCAAGCACGTCATTGCCTATAATACACATGTGAAACAAGTCTAACTTTGGACTCAGTTTACCAAGCGATTTGAAGATTATAGGTCGAGCACACGAAACATAAAACGCATGAATTATCATAGATCACTTCTGCCTATTTCATTATGTCCATTTCATCCAACCCCCCACCGTAATTTGTTCATTTAGTAAAAGCAAACATTTTGCCAAGTTTAGCAAAAACATGAATATTCATGAACGGTCAGACAATACAGCCTTTTAGTACGTAACGTATAGTGAATGGGAATGGGCGATGATCCGTTCAGGAGGTAGAGGTCAGTGGTTTGTGCTGGCAATGTTCACGCGAGCGAAAATGAGACAATCGAAGCAATATGTTTTTCTTTTGCCTATAATTTAGCCCTGGAATTCTTACCGAGCTCGAGCTCTATCTCCTTGCCGACGGTATGGATCCCTCAGATTTCAGGAAGGTCGGACTAGCTTTAGGATCCACTGAGGCTCAACTAAGTCGGTTTGAGAAAGACAAGCCTGGCAACTCCATGGGAGCTACCTATCAGATGCTTTACGAATGGCGGAAGACAGTACAAGAAAGTGAGGCGAGGGATATACTAGTCAACAAGTTAGACAGCATTAAACTGGTTCAACTTGCTGATAGTGTACGGAGAGGTAAAGTATTACACACATACATATACACACAAACACACACACACATCCTCATCAAACATGTAAGGCCTATATATGCAGTATCCAACAAAAGTGAGCACACCCCAACAATAAAGTTGATTATACAACGCCTACTAAGATTCTTGCAACCTCATTAGTCAATTATTTATCACATGACATGCGCTATAAGTACTGTTGAACGGCATCATTCTCCAGCCGTGCAATTCCGTTTGATCATTTCGCACCATTGCACGCTGACGTCACTAACGATGTACAAAGTATATGGTGAGGTTAGTGACGTCGCCGTGCAATGGTACCAATGGATCAAACAAAATTGCACTCCGCGTCACAATAAACATAAAGCTTGGTACGCGTGGCGCATGGTATGCGCACGGTTTGCTGCCTGCATGCTTAATAGTATAGTATTAATGACTGCTTTGAGAGAAATAGTTGTTTTTATACGCTCAAGGGAAGGTTAGAATTGTGCTATTGCCCCGAGGCGTGCCGAGGGCAATAGCCCAATTGTAACCTTCCCGAGAGCGTATAAAAACAACTATTTCTCGAATATTAAAGCAGTCATTAATACTTTTATATGCCGAAAACAAAAGAGGCAACTATAATGACACCACCTTGGCCTTTCTCTAGTTTATCTGCACGATTGTTTTTTATGAGTGTATCTTTGAGAGTAGACTAGATCTAGATTCTAGTCTAAGCAAGATATTTTTACAATTTTGGGGGTGGACCGGCCCTGTGGGGAATAGAGAGAAGAACCTGCGCTTTCATATGACACCTCACTTATTGAGTATCACCTTCAGGATCACAACAGATAAAGGTTTGAATCTCGAATTGAAAAAAAACTTTTTTTGCATGGTCGCGCAATGCACGTAGACTGCATAGAGACTGCATTGCGTGTAATCTCTATGGGAAGAATATAGCACACAACATCGGGTGCGCGATCAGACACCCTGACAACTAGATCTATTTTCGTCTACGTCTATGCTGGTACTCCATTTTCAGCAACTAAACTAACATGATTATGGATAATTTCACGTACCCTTTTTGTTGTTCTTGCTGTCAGCGAGTCTTGCATTTGATAAGTTGAAATCTTGGGACAGTTTCTTTAGCCATTTTTGTCTTGTTTGGAATTGTCTTGTCTTGTATAAAAATACCGACCAATTCTTCGCACACGTACGGTATCCTCGATCGCTCAAACCATTTTTTAACATGTAAACCGATGGGGTAACCATGGAGACTGAACTATTTTCCCGGTAACCATGGTTACTGGGATTTTAGAACTGTTTTAACCATGGTTACTGGGAATTTTACAGAAATAGTTAAAGTTTATGAATGCAATTTCGACCAATCAGATGGCTGGATTTCTTAAGTGAGGTATATAATGCGCGCTCGATCACTATCGGCAATTTCATGAATACACCAGTTTACGGTAATATCAGTGCGCATGCGCAGACATGTAATTGGCTTTGAAACAAAGCCAATGACCTGAGGTTAGTGGTATTTATGCGTAAATTAAGATTGCGCCCATGCAAATTATGATGTGAGCGCACAACGCAGCGCGCAGGCAGTAATATCATCATAATTTGCATGGGCGCAATCTTAATTTACGCATAAACCACTGACCTCTAGAGGTCATTGGCTTTGTTTAAATGGCGCCCGTAACCATAAACTGGTGTATTAAAAACAAACAAAAACATCGCTGAGATTAAGGCCCAGGAAAACTGTTTTAAGCCCATAAACGTCCGAGGTGTGATATAAAACAAATAGTGAATGGTCTTCATTCGTGCAATGAAACAAGATTTTGCAAATCGGTGAAAGACGAGACGCTCCATTCAACTCGGCTGCGCCTCGTTGAATACAGCGTCTCTTATCTTTCACCTCGTGCACAATCTTGTACCATTGCACTCATGGCCATTCACTATTTGTATAATATTCAACCTTAACTTTTAACAAGTCTATTTTTAAAAGGCGGTGCATACTGATAAAGCTATAGGTAAACTTACGTATTCCATTAAAACAATGCAGCAAACTAATGAGTAGCCTTAAATCACGGCGGCTTTGGTGCTCTGGCACGTCGATCCCATGGTCGATTCTCAAAACGCGCGAAATAGTCCTCTGATTGCACGGGAAGTCGACACACACATGTGCGTCTCATCCACAATCTGGACGTTTAAAAAAAAATCTTTTTCCCAATCGCGATTTCTCCCATCTCTTACCTGAGGTACAACATCTTGACAACATCTTTGTGCGATTAGGGGAGATCATGGTTCAGTAGTGGAGATTATTGACAATTATATTTCATAGCATTTTTTTAAAAGTCTACAGATGGTTAATATATTTCCAGGTGCTAGGCAGTGAGACCGCACAAATGAAATTCAAAGGAATTTAATATTCAAATGAAGTATAATAGGCCAGTGTGCGGTAGTAGTGTCACGGCAGGGAGCAGCATTAAGACAGCAGAGCAGTTCAGGGTCTACTACTACAGTTGCAATGCAGCAACCACCAGCAGCCAGGAGAACCGGGGTTCCAAAGACTGGCCTATATTAGATAGCAGCTCAGCTGAACCAGCCTTGGTGGTTAGTTTGTGGACATGTCGTCCAACAAACGCTTACAGCCAACTCCGCCATTTGGTTAAGCAGGTGGAGACTGCAGATCTTCTGATGCGATGGATTTGTTGCATTGCCTCTAACAGCTACGATACCTATTTAAAGTGGACATAAAAGCTTTAGACCATCTTCTTCATCAAGTGCTTTCTAACGGAAAGATCGATGGTTATGACGCCGTATGACGGCATAAATAGAGCTGTCAATGTCTGCATAATATATATATACATATATATTTAACCTATACGATAAAGGCCTTAACTCATAGCCTGACATAAGACTGCATGCACGCTATCGCTATGCTGCTTTGTCCATGCGAGAGAGCTACCACTCGAGTGCCATCCCCAGGTCGAAATTCCAGTTGATACCAGTTGATAAAATTTGGAAACTAGTAGAAATACCCGGCCCCCCCCCCCACACTCCGAGAACGGACGGACCCCATGCGTGTTACCAAAATGTCCTTTCGTAACAAAAGAAAAAGGTCGACCCGTATTGACTTTACACACCGGACTTTTGCTGAAAAGGGGGGGGGGGGGGTGCTGAAAAAGGCTCGTATAACAAAAGAAAAAGGTCGACCCGTATTGACTTTACACACCGGCCTTTTGCTGAAAAGGGGGGGGGGTCGCTTTAAACACGCATGTGCGTACCCTAAATAACACTGAGTGGGGGGGGGGGCCGGGTAGAAATACCAGTTGACATCTGAGATCAGTTGATATTACCAGTTGATTTACCAGTTGCTTTACCAGTTGAGTAGATGATTACCAGTTGATTTACCAGTTGAAAACCAGTATACGATTTACCAGTTGATTTACCAGTTGAAAACCAGTAGATGATCACCAGTTGATTTACCAGTTGAAAACCAGGAGATGATTACCAGTTGATTTACCAGTTGAAAACCAGTAGATGATTACCAGTTGCTTTACCAGTTGAGTAGATGATTACCAGTTGATTTACCAGTTGAAAACCAGTATACGATTTACCAGTTGATTTACCAGTTGAAAACCAGTAGATGATCACCAGTTGATTTACCAGTTGAAAACCAGGAGATGATTACCAGTTGATTTACCAGTTGAAAACCAGTAGATGATTACGAGTTGATTTACCAGTTGAAAACCAGTAGATGATCACCAGTTGATTTACCAGTTGAAAACCAGGAGATGATTACCAGTTGATTTACCAGTTGAAAACCAGTAGATGATCACGAGTTGATTTACCAGTTGAAAACCAGTAGATGATCACCAGTTGATTTACCAGTTGAAAACCAGGAGATGATTACCAGTTGATTTACCAGTTGAAAACCAGGAGATGATTACCAGTTGATTTACCAGTTGAAAACCAGTAGATGATTACCAGTTGATTTACCAGTTGAAAACCTTTAGATGAGCACCAGTTGATTTACCAGTTGAAAACCAGTATATGATTACCAGTTGATTTACCAGTTGAAAACCAATAGATGATTACCAGTTGATTTCCCAGTTGAAAACCTTTAGATGAGCACCAGTTGATTTACCAGTTGAAAACCAGTAGATGATTACGAGTTGATTTACCAGTTGAAAACCAGTACGATTACCAGTTGATTTACCAGTTGAAAACCAGTACGATTACCAGTTTATTTACCAGTTAAAAACCAGTAGATGATTACCAGTTGATTTACCAGTTGAAAACCAGTACGAACACTAGTTGATTTACCACTTGAAAAACCAGTTCAATGTATCTTATGCATATTCATGATTGATATGCATGTTTTCACAGAAAATCTAATTATCATGATCTGTCAAGCAAATGTGACAATACACATAAATGTTGTGATTTACATTTTCTTAGTTGATTATTGACAAATATATTACACATGTCTGATCATGTTCATCTAATTTAAGACGTAAAATTTGATATATTGATATATGTAATTACTAACCAGAAATAAAGTGTATAAATTTGTATATATGTATGCACGAATTTTAAATGTCGACTCACATGATACACATCTGTAATCTACTTCAAATGATCATTGTGATGGGGTAATTGCAAGAGTTAGTATATGTGGTCAAGTTGGTGGCCAGATGCTAATAATGATTATCGATTATCAGTTGATTGCTTACTGGATAATCATCTGAAAAATCAACTGGTAATTCAACTGGTAAATCAACCGGTAAAACAACTGGTAATTCAACTGGTAAATCAACTGGTCCCGGTAAGTGTTGTTTTCAATTTCCATATTAAAAACCAGTTGAACCTACCAGTTGTACCTACTGAACCTACTGGTGTCAACTGGTACCAGTTGCCTACTGGTTTCAACTGGAATTCCGACCTGGGCGTGCAACGCAGCATTCGTAATAGCAGTTATTGTTCATGCTCATTGGACTGTATTTTGCACTCGCTATTCATAGAACCATCGTGTTAATCAGATTATCTCCAAACAACCTGGCAAGGGGGGATTTGGGGCTTGGCACAATGGGGATTAGCGCTGTGGCATGATAAGAGTTAAAGGTAAAGAACAATTTGGGAAACGTCCTCCTCTCAAAAAATGAAATGGAAGCTCTTATTACCAATCATGTGAAAGAATATGTTTTGACTAGTACGTGATGATACAAATTTTGCTGGGAAACCGCCTACTAATTGAAATATTTGGTAAATTATTATATCTATCCGGACTGGATAGATATAGGGTAGTCCCATATACATCTATGTACAGTGTTTGTAACTTTACCAAGACTGGGCCAAATTTCTTATCATTTTGATGATTCCAGAACCTTGTAGTACACACCAATACTTATATGCTAGATGATCAACCTTTTGTGATCGATTCCACAACGTTTCTTCAAAATGCAATCGCATGACCAGAATTGGTCTATACCTTTCAGTATAGGAACATCTCATGGATGTTAGACGTATTCATTAATTAAATGCATATGTTTCGTTTTGTTTCATTTAGATTTACTGCACCAGTTTCATTTTTAAAAAGCCCATATTTTGTTGCTGATGTATCTCCGTAGATAATTGACGTCATTTTAAACTAAGATGTAAGACAATATGCAATCAATTTCCTCGGAAAGATCTGCTTTCAGTTCACACCCAATTTCATTTCCTTTGAGTTATCATATAAGGTATCACGAAGGGAGCCACCCTGTGCCGATCCTGAGCGACTCAGGTTTTTGTGTTTTTTTTCTCTAACAATTTCCGAGAAACCCTAGTTTTATACGAGCGGGTTTGTCAGGAAGGTGCCGAAAGAAAGGACATGATTCGGTAAAGCCCCCATCACACCGAACTAGTTCTCAATACGTTCGGGAAAATGTTGCCAAACGGGTTCAAACTGTGTGCGACCGGATTTGAACGAAGTAGATCTGTTTAAGAACTTTACGGACGGGCTCGGACTGCTGGCTATACGGGAGAGTGCTCTAGAAGTTAGAGCCTGTTCAAAATTGTCCGCGTCCTGCAATTAGGCGGAGTGACTACGTACTTAAAACGAGGAGGACGTACTACAAACGGACTGATTGCCGTACTATGAACGGAATTGCCGGGCTTCGAGCCTACTAGGAACGTGTTACATCGTAATGTGGTCGAGCATCAATCAGCAGCAGCTAAGCCCCCATCACTCCAAACAAGTTCTCACTACGTTCCAGAACCGTCCTAGAAAACATTTTTTAAGGTAATGGTCGTGGCAGATTGTGTAAATAATGTTTATGATACGATCCTAGATCGTTCATAAACCGTCCTCAATACGTCCATCTCGTATGTACCCCGTCCATAGTCAGTTCATATCGAGTTCAGATCGGGTACATTTGCCATTTCCAAGCAGTCTAAGCTCGTCCGTAATCAGTTTAAACTACTTCTTAACTAGTTCTACCTCGTTCCCAATACGTCCAAACCAAGCTAATTCGTAACACTTTCGTAACACGTTCATAATAGGACCGAAGAACGGCAATTCCGTTCGTAGTATGTCCATCTCGTTTAAAGTATGTTGTCAATCCGTCTAATTGCAGGACGGGGACAATTTTAAACAGGCTCAAAGTTTTAGAGCACCCTTTCGGTCCAAGCCAGTCCGAGCCCGTCCATAGTGTTCTTAAACAGACCGTAAACAGTTGCTTCTACGTTCACTCCTTTCGCACACAGTTTGAGCAAGTTTGGCAACATTTTAGAGAACATAGTATACAAATATACACTGTCTTGAGAGGTTCTGGTTAAAACTATTGGCAAGAGGTGACTCCAATAGTACTTTTGGAGTCACCGAGTGCCAATAGTTTTAACCAGTTCCTCAAAAAGAAGGCAGGGTATATTTGTTTTATATCCTACATCAAAAATTTATAATCAAGCAAAATAATTCACAAATTTATAATCAAGCAAAATAAGTCACCTTTAATATTTGCTCGGTTGCTCCTGCCTTGAGGTCTCCAACTGGTTTTCCACTGAATCCAAACATTCCAAATCATCTTACTCTAAGTCTAACTCGAACAAGTTCCAACGTCAACGATTGTCAACGATAACATATTTACAGTGTTTCAAACGTTTAACAAACAATGTTTCAAACATATATACATCCTTCCATGTTACATCTGGTCTACTTGTAAAAATTCACCACACAGCTATTAAAATGAAACGGTTGTGGGTAAAGATTCTGCTGGTTCATGTCAATGTTTATAGTTCCAAACATCCTGTCTTGCTGTTGTTGTGGTTGTGGAAGTTGGGCTGGTGGGATCACTTGCAAGGGAAGGGCATCCATAACGCGTAGAAGCTGACTATCTGTGAAGTCAAAGATGTCTGGATCATCGTCATTGTCAATGTTTTCTATCTCATCTAGATTAGAGGTTGACGCTGTTGCTGTTGATGTTGATGGTTGATCTGGATGAATTCTAGAAAGAGTTTCTGACATTTCACGCTTCTTTAGCTCACTAGTACGAACATAGTTTTTGATCGATGTTTCGGAGCGGTGGCCTGAAACGGACATGATATCTCTCGATGCATGCCCTGTATGATCGAGCAAAGTAATACTTGTTGCACGCACGGAGTGGTTGGTGTAGTGATTTGTGCAACCAGCGGCTTTACAAATGTTCTTCGTCATTTGAGAAAGGGTCCACTTCCCAACAGGGGGATTCGAATACCACACATCTTCCTCACCGACTCTCTGCTTTGGCCTCTGCCACATCCATTCACACTGAGGATTCAGTTTCGACAAGTTCTTTTTCATGTTCATGACAGGGCACCTGGGGTCTCCTGGGAGTGCATGCATTTGTCCACCCTGAACTGCGACAGAAACTGCAAAATTCGCCAAACACTGACATTCCATACTTAATTTGTTTCTTTGTGTTGTCGCTGTCCATAGAATAAATAAAATCATTCAGATCTTCTTCTTCTTTGACATTGTCAAATCTCCGATTTGCGGAGGCCGCCATCTTTGCAGACGATCATAACAACCACAAATTCAAGACCGAATGCTGGCGCTATACAGGTAATGCAGTTTATACTGTGACTCAAGCGTAATCTTTACGTCTTGAGTGCCGTGACACCGCGACTGCAGGCATTTGAAATCGTGTACGCTCGCTGAATTTTCAAAAAAAAGATCAACTCCCAAATAGTACTTCTAATCCCGAATAGTACTCTCATATAGTACTTTTTCAGAGCAACCTTAAAATAGTTGGAATATTTCTGGTTATGTGACGAGCTCTCAACCAACCAAAAACAAATAAATTGTTGATGCATGATGTAATGAGAACTAGTTTGGTGTGATGGGGGCTTCACTTAAATATCTTGATTTGCACACCTTGAATCATTGAAGTTGAGCGGGAATAAGGAATGGCAAGAACGCGCTGGGGTTTTATAACCAGGACGTGATTTCACACGCTCTAGGAGCGCGTTCGATCGCACTAAGAACGAGATGAGGACGAGCCGAACTCTCTCTAAACTTTTTAGAATGGGTTTGGTCGAATTGGGAACGAGGTAGAACTAGTTATAGACGGGTATAGACTGACTACGGACTGGCTTGAACTGCCTGGAAATGGCAAATTTACCCGATCTGAACTTGATATGAACTGACTGTGGACGGGGTGCTGACGAGATGGACGTATTGAGGACTATTTATGAACAAACTAGGGTCGTATTATCGATATCTTTTACAAATCCTACTCCGACCACAACCCGTTTTACGATTTTCTAGGACGGTTCCAAAACGTAGTGAGAACTAGTTTGGTGTGATAAAGACTTAACCTGGCGTAATAACATAACTATTAAAAAAAAAAATTGAGACAAATCCAGCGACATCAATAGTAAACACAAATAATATAAGAGAGAGGTCAATTAATTTTCATAATTAAAGTTTCTATTAAGAAACGAGAATTTGGTTGGTGATAATAATAAAAAACTGACTAATTGCCATATAACACTGAACGACTACAACAACATTATGCAGTGGGTAAAGGCGGCGTGCAGCAAGCTATGTCGCATTCCCGCGCAATCAGAGAACTATAATTCCGCGCTTCAGTTCGAGGATCGACCATGGGATCGACAGAGAAATAAAACCGCTGTGATTGAAGGCTAACTAAGGAGTTAAATTGTAATATTTAAAGTTTTTTATAAAATAGGGGGTCATAAATAATGGTAGATACTGCATTGAAAGAGAGAGAGGAATGGGGGAGGAGGAAAGGGAGAGAGAGAGAGGGAGAGAGAGAATAAGAGAGATAGAAAGAGAGAGAGAGAGAGAGAGAGGAGGGGGTGGCAATTACAAGGGGATTTCTTCCACGCGCCAGTGACCCAAATATAATTTTACTGCCAACATTTATGAAGTTAATAGCCTTACAAGAGATTGGATCAGACCACAAAATAATGTAGTGAAATTGCACATTTGTTCATGTACGTTCTATATAACATTTACGTTATTTGCTTAATAGAATATGGGCCCGAACCCAAATTTTTGACCAAATAGGTTGACATTTTAGCATCGACCCGAGTAACCCTTCCCCAGGGCAGTGACATCGGGGCACAATGTCAATCCATTACTCAATGTGAGGGCCCATTTCAAAGAAATGAATGATTTCTCAGCCATTGGTTATGATCCGCGTGCAAATTCAAATTGAGATTTGAAAGTAAGTTGAACGTCCATTGATAATACATTTCTGTGATTCATGTGTTTTGTTTTTGTTGCTGTTGTTAATGCTGTTGTTGCTGTTGTTTTACTTTTAAATACCAGTGTCAATTAAGAGTCAACGTTCTTCCCCCATTCCATCACAGGTCAGGTTGGTGATCATATACCGTCAATGACAGAGAAGGAAATCGATCGGGTTGCTGAAGATGTCAAACGCTATTTGGCAATTCTTCTATGTCAGATTCAAGCCGATCCACTGAACAGCGAACTTGTACTTGCATTTGAACGCATCTTCACCAATCTAACGTTAATGGAAGAAGACAAAGGTACCAAGCGCAAGGCACCGCTTCTATACGACGACCTCCTCGGGACCAAAGTCAACGGAATCTATCCTAAACGCTTGTTGGTGGAAGGTGAAGGTGGTGTGGGGAAGACCACTTTTTGCGCCAAGATTGCTTGGGATTGGATCCACGGAAAAGGCTACAAAGATTTCAAACTTGTCCTTGTCGTCCTCCTTCGCGAGGCAAAGGACAAGACTGTTGGAGAGGTAGTGAAGTCATATCTTTCTGACAACAATCCGGTCACAGCCAAGCAGCTAGACAAGTACATCCTCTCAAATCCAGATGACGTCCTTCTAGTCCTGGACGGCCTAGATGAGTTTGCTGTCGATCTTAACAGCACTCAGCAAATCGCCCTGATCACCCTCAATCGGTTGTTCAAATCAGGCACAGTACTAATCACATCACGGCAATGGAGATCAGATGAGATTAGGAAGAATGCCTATCTCAGGAAGGTGTTTGCTTTCATTGCCATAGAAGGTTTCTCTCCTGAAAACCTCTCTTCTTACATCACCAAGTTCTTTCATCCAGACAAAGCTTCCTCTGAAGATCTGAGCCGATTCATATCAAATAACGCTGTGATAAGAGAGAACATGGCTCCCTACCCCATATACACAGCCATGCTGTGTATCATGTGGAAAGAGTTTGATGGAGAGCGCCGAGAGGCAATGTCCAAGCTGCAAACATTCTCCCAGCTATTCGATGAGATGGTTCGATTTTTGGTTGATCATTACCTCTCCAAGCTCACTGTACCCTCAGCAGATGCTGATGAAAAATTGGATGAAAACCGCTCGGAAATTCTTAATCATGAGATTTACATTGGTTGTGTTGCCTTCCAGGGTCTTCTCGAGAGACGGTTGGTGTTCAGTGAAGAAGAGTTTCAGAGCTGCCCGGGATCTGTGGATACAGGTTGTAAAGTTGGAGTACTTACTAAAGAAAAGCATATTCCTTCGAGGAGAGACAGAAGACATCATTCCCACTCTGCAGGCTTAGCTGTGCAGTTTCCCCATAAGCTATTCCAGGAGTATCTATCTGGAATGTATCTTGCATCTCTCTACAACTCGAACCGTAATGAGTATGACAAGTTGATAGCGAATATCATACCGAAAGCAGAGGAATACCGGTACCTACTGTATTTCACCGCGGCCCAGCAGAAGGAGATCGGCTTGGATATTGTATCTCTTCTCATAACGTCGAAGAGTGAGCATCGCCCTACTGAAAACTTCATCGTTGATGTAGCATTTGAGAGCCAAGACCAATCAGTAGCCAAATCAGTGGCGGATCATCTCTACCGTTATCCCGGTAAGACACTGGAGATCACTGGAGAGATGCAGGTACACACAGTATCAGGGCATATTTTCGTGATGAATCACCGTGAACCGGTAAGGATGTAACGTCGAATTGTAGCAACGTATAAATTGCATAGTTGTATGCTCTCTTTGAGTGATAAAGTTTCTATTTGATTTAAATTTTATTATATAAGACTTAGGATGACATCGTTTGATTTTAACACTAATTGACCGTCTACATAAACCTTGTATACAAACGATGCTTTGAATCCCGACATGCGCTAATAACGTAATGCATCCTGACCAACTTCTCTTCACCCAAATGTTAAAAAGAAGCTTGATATAATCCATTTTCTTTAATCACGAAGCATGTTTAAAACCACTTCTTCGGATCTTGCATGGGTAAAACTCTGATCATCATTTATAATCTGAAAACTGCAATGTACACAAACAACATTTACTATTAATATTTACAATAGTTAATGAGTATTAGGACTTTTATTTGGTAATTGTAATTTATTGTCATTGCAGCACAACCCGTGTTGCATGTACATGTACAATGCACATGTATTTGAAATGAATCCTTGTGTAATAATGCAACATTTTTAATCTCACGAATCCCAATAGGATTTGTGCGTTCATACTGTTCAAACCAGTATAATAAAGACACACACGGAAAAATGGAAACAAAATCCGTATCCATTACGCCAAATAACAGAAATAACGAGTTTTTCGTCTGGACTTTTTCATAAAAGGAGGGGCAGGGCATTACTATTTACTATTTTTCATTTTTTTTTGCTTTATTTTCGAAGACGGCCGCCATGCTAAATATAGCTGGTCAAGGTATATTTATTCACATAATTATATTGCGCTATTTGAGTATACTAATTGTATGACTTAACAAATCATTTTAGTCCACTTGCTGAGCAAGTTTCAAAATTCACAAACCACCTGTGGAAATGTACATGTGTTCAGCTTGAATAGCTTTAGAAGCTTTTTATAAAAAATGTACGGCCTTTTTTTCTTCTTCTTTTTCCGAATAGTATACAAAAAAGAAGGCGGCGATGTGTGCAACTTAACTGTGTGTATATGCAGCTATAGACGCAAGACCCAGTCGTTTTGAATACTTTAAGCTTCACATCATTATAAAGATAAGATATACACAAGATAGCCGACATAGGGGGATTTGGGGTGTACATATTTAGCTTAGACATTCATATTTCAATTATTTCCATGCTTTTATGTTTCTTGCCTTAAAATATTGTTTGTGTACATGTACCTTGTAGGATGACCTGATTATTAGGGGTTCACGTGGACGGACGGTTTCAGAGGATCTGGCTGAATTCATATGCTCATCACGATCACTGAGATTTGTGGCGATCGTTCATGTTATACATGACGTCTTCTACTCGGTGCTTGCGAATAAAGCTGTCGATTCCAAGGTCAGAATAATTTCTGATTTCTAATTTCTGATTTCTGATAATGTTTTAAGCCTTACTATCATGAAGGACCATCACGAGGCAACTGCTTCACTCATATATACACACTTTCCCCCACAGGCAACCGGTCATATGATTATTTGTATCGCTTATCCTCTTCACCCCCCCCCCCCTCCCACTATAAAAGGTCTAGCGATGCCCCTGCGCAAAGCGTGCGAGTGGACGGGCGAATAAGCATTGGAGACGTTCATTTGACCTATGACATTTTGACATCATACGACTCCATGCAGTGGCTAATTACGAACTCGCTTATTAGGGGTATATTAACAATCAGAATCAGAGTAGCATCTTTCGTAGGAATTCAAATTGATGAAACCTTGATGTGGAAGGAGGAAATTCAGTGTATACGGAGGAAAATTGGACTGCTGTGTAAGTTGAGACACTATGTGCCTAATAAGCACATTATCATGCTCTTGTATAAATCCTTTATTCAGCCACACATACTTTATGGTATTGAAGTTTGGGAAATTTGCTATAAAAATAATTTAAATTGCATACTATTGGCACAGAAAATGGCCATGTGTATGACGACATGTCCCTATTTGTATTAGATGTGCACAATCTGTTCGAGCATTCAGTATCAACATTTGTTTATGACCTGCAGAAAGGACATTTATCACAAAAGTGAGAGAACATCTAATGCTACGATTACCTAAATGTAGTACGACACCTGGGACTCTTTCAATTTCTTTCATTGGAGCAAAGCTGTGGAATAATTTGCCCATCAATATAAGAGAATAAACAAGATCATCATTTCGTAAGAATCTCAGAATTTAACTCATAGGATCATTAATATAATATTAAGAAATGATATCGTACGAAGGGCGATATATATGGTTTACATTCTTTAGTGACAGCACGCGGGTATAGGGGGTGGCGACACTTTTGTGGTGTCCTTTGGAGGCATCTTGAAAGAAAATAATAACTTGCCGGCGCTCTTTCTTTAAGTGGTTAATTCACAGGTTTGATATGACATGGAATTATGATTAATTTTGTACATTATGGTTCAACTATTGATATTTTCTTTTTCTTTGTAACTCATGTAGGGATATGTATGCGACATTGTTTAATTGTTGTTATTTTGTTACCCACTTGAATACATTTGTAACATTTTGTTATGTTGTTAATAAATTATAATTCAACTCAAATCAATCATTCAATAAAATTTTTACTATCATAACAGATGGAGACTCTTCACACCCAGCTTGATGATCTCAAAGAACGTCCCGCTGCATCACGTGATCTCGCTCAGTTCATCTGCAAGATGCCTCATCTGAAGAAACTGACACTCCGTTATATAGGCCGCATGCACGATGCCTTCTACTCAACATTATCGTCAGAAGCGTCATCTGCAAAGGTAGTGATTAGAGAATATATTTTATAATATAAGTAAATCCCTACGCGTTTTGTTATAATGATGTCTACTCATTTCTAAAGTACACGAAACGGGATGATGTTACTGTCAAAATTAGTACACTGTTAACATGAAGCAGTGAGGAAAAGCTAGAGATTTATAAAGTAGGGGGCAAATGAGCGTAAGTCGGAATGCGCTACCTACCGAAAAAAAAAATCTTATAACAGTTGACAGTAGATAATATATTCCATATTGTTCATTCATAGGTGGCATTCAAAGCTACTTTTTAAAATGAATGATGATGGCAACTGTAAAATTAAGACACCTGACATCCAGTATGTGAATACCTCCACCCCTCCCCTTCCTCACTCAGTCTGTCGTGTCCTAAAAACCCTTCCATTCTGACAATCTTTGAGCCGCCACTATCAAGTGTCGTCACAACAATAATCAAAGCAATCAAGTTGTCCCCGGAACAAAATCAATGTTTTCTCTTAAAGAAAAACGACTGTTTTGCAATCTTGTTTTATTATATTTTTTCTGTAAGACTTTAGATCATGATTTAACTCCTTCATGCGGGTCAATTGTGAACTAGAGAATATTCACGATGTCTCATTTCATCCGTACTGTCACATTATACTTCTGAACATATTCTAATTGGATCATTCTATACAAAGAAATCTTCACCTTGACATAGCAGTAATGTATGAACACCATTTTCAATCTCAAAATAATACACGAACTATCAAAATTGGTGCAAATTTCAGGTGATAAGACTTGTACATTGTTACAAAATAAAGGATGGATGTGTTGATGTTTTCATCGTGACAACGATATTAATATAATTTTTAAGCAAATAGTTTCTTCTTAAATATACTTTGACTTGGTTATTGTTAAGTAATCATTCAACACATGCTACTATCCTAAAAGATTGAGACTCTTGACATCCAGCTTGATGATCTCAGTGAACGTCCCGCTGCATCACGTGATCTCGCTCAGTTCTTCTGCAAGATGCCTTATCTGAAGAAACTGACATTCCGTTGTGGAGGCCTTATGCACGATGACTTCTACTCAACATCTTCGTCGATAGCGTCATCTGCAAAGGTTATTGATTAGAGCATATATATTATTTTATAATCTAAGCAAATCACCAGGCGTTTTATTATACTGACGTGTACTCATTTCTATAGTACACGAAATGGGATGAGGCTACTCTCCAAATTAGACAACCCTTGAGAGAAAGCAGCTAGGAAAAGTTAAAGTTTAATGAAATAGGGGCAAATGAGCGTAAGTGGATATGAGCTCCCTACAGAAAAATATTAGCAAAATTGATAGTAAGTAATATATACAATATTTGTCATTCCTACGTGGCAATAAAAAGCAACGTACCGGCAATTATATTTACAAAGTACTATTTAAATTAAATGTAAGAATATTAAATCGTTTTTTGTTTTAATTGAATGACGATGACAACTGCACAAATTGATACCCTTAACATCTAGTATTTGAATACCCCCCCCCCCCTCTCACTCGGTGTGTCGTGCAAATGCAGAAGAGATAGCGAGATCACCAAATCATATGTCCGGTAAATCCCCTCCTTTCTGAAAACCTTTGAGCCGCCACTTCACAATATCGTCGACATAATTAGGGTGTTCAAGTTGTCTCTGGTTTATAGAAAGCGACCTTTCTGCCACCTTCTAGTTTTATTATATATTTTTTCTGTAAGATATTAGATCATGATGTAACTCCTTCACCATGTCGAATGTGATTTAGAGAATATTTATGATGTCCCATTTTCCCGTAATATCACATTATACTTCTGAACATATTCTGATGTCCCCTATTTGATGTTAGTTATGCCACAGTCCTAATTCGAACACCTGAACATAGCAGCAATGTATGAACACCATGTTCAATCTCAAATGAATACAGAAACTATCAAAATTAGAGCTTATTTCAGGTGTCGAGACTTGTAGACCTATATCATTACAAAATAAAGGTGGATAGGTTAAGACGTTTTCATTGTGGCAACGATATCAATACAATTTTTAAGCAAATTGTTTCATCTCGAATATACTTTTAGTTGGTTATTAATTAATCAGTCAACATGACATTACTACCATAACAGATTGAGACTCTTGCCATCCAGCTCGATGATCTCAGTGAACGTCCCTTTGCATCTCGCGGTCTTGCTGAGTTCATCTGCAAGATGCCTCATCTGAAGAACCTTACACTCTATGGGCAAGAGAGCTGGGATAATTACAAACTTCACGATGCCTTCTACTCAACATTTTCGTCGATGGCGTCATCTTCAAAGGTTTGATAACTTTGATTAGTGCATATATTTTACAATCTAAACAAATCACTACGCGTTATATACTGACGTGTACTCATTTCTATAGTACACGAAACGGGATGATGATACTGTCCAAATTAGAACACCGTTAATGGGAAAAACTAACGTTCTATGAAGTAGGGGAAAAGGAGCGTAAGTGGAAATGCACTACCTACAGAAAAAAGCATTATAAAAAAAATGACAGTACATAACTATATTCTCCATTCTTATGTGGCAATACAAAGCTACGTAAAATTAGATTTACACATTACCATTTCAATTGAATGTAAGAATAATCCTTTTTTGTTTGTTTAAATGATTGATAATGGCAACTGTAAAATTGGGACCCATCACATCGAGAATTTGAACCCCCCCCCCCCCTCACTCAGTCTGTCGTGCAAATGCGAGAGAGATAGCGAGATTACCAAATCATAATTATGTCCGATATTCCCTCCTTTCTGAGAATCTTCGAACCGCCACTACACATAATCAGGGTGTTCAAATTGTCACCCAAAAAAATAATTGTTTTCTCTTGAAGAAAAACGACCGTTCTGCCCTCTTGTTTTATTATATTTTTGCTGTAAGACTTTAGATCATGATAGGAGGTGTCAGATAGGGGCCAATTATCTAGAAAATAGCTATCTAGATAAAAGCTATCTAGATAATTTGCTGTCTGTCATCAATTAGCCCGCGAAAAATCTAACAACTTCGTACAAAAGAAAATTGTCCCTTATAGAGAAATTTCAAGTGAATTTTCGCGGGAAATTTCAGTTTTTTTACCTATCTGTGACCTACTTAGGTGATTTGTCTAGATAGCTATTAGGTTATTCAAAATGGATCAGGAAATTGTGTCTGACAACGGCTGATCTAACATCGCTTTAAACGATGGATATGTCATAACATTTACGAGTCTTACTCTATTGGAATGTATCATTTCATGTAACGAGGCATATTTCATCCGTTATGACCGGCTATATTATATTCATCTTGGTGGAAACTGAATAACTTGTTATTCTTGTATTGCTATATTATCACACATTGTTGATAGTATAGGCCTTATATATTCTTTCGATCCTGAACTTGAATATGCGTTTCTGATTGAAATACGATATACCAAACAGACTTATAATCAGTAAATCAATTTTTTTTATTATATTGCCATCACACTTTCAAAATGGTGAGCCCCCTCGCCACAACCAGATCGAAAGCTAAAGCCAAATTGGATCAAAAAGAACAAAAGGTTGAGACCACGATTATTCAAGCAGTGCAGGATTACCTAAAAGCAACGCCTTTTTTAAAGCAATTGATTCAGCAGTGGAAAAGGCAATCGACAGACAATTGAAAAAGTTATTTGATCGGATCGAGGGATTGGAGGAAAGTAATACTGCTACAACAGAACGACTAGAGATCAACGATGGAAGAATAATGGACTTAAAATCCAACGTCCAGGCCAAAGAAAATGAAATCAAGCAATTGAATAGTACGATCTCCACCCAAGCAACAACTTTCAACAACCTCCAACTTTCTGTGAATGACATGGAGCAGTATTCAAGAAGAGACTGCTTAAAATTCTACGGCATTCCTGAAAACACAGATGAGAATACTGTAACGAAACCGGAGCTCTGTCGAATACTCCCCAGCAGCTTATCTTGTCAGGATGCCTTCTGCTGGTATGTTTGCCTAGTCCGGTACCAATTTCGCCGTGGATCCGTTTGGCAGAGATATACTGCCCCGTTGACCTTGCACCACCTCTCGACCACCGTCCAGTCGACACTACCAGACCGTTTACAGGTCTGTACTTCACCACCGTCTTCTACCAACCCAGCCGACTAAACCAGTCCGCTTCTGCACCTTTCAAACGTCTATACTAGTCTGCTTGTGCATGCAACTCCATTTGGCCGCACCAGTTTGCTTCATGCACCTTTCAGACGTCTATACCAGTCTGCTTGTGCATGCAACTTCCATTGGCCGCACCAGTTTGCTTCATGCATGCACCTTCAAACAACCAGACCGTCTGTCTTTGTACAGTCAGCTTACTCGACCATGCCACTGGCTCTGCTACGCAGTAAGTCCCTACCAGCCGTCTACTCCAGACCACCGAAAGAGCAATCCCTGGTATCGTCTAATGCTAGAACGCAAAAGATCCAACAAACACAACCTAGATCCTAACCATGGTCGTCACCCAAGATCAGAAATCAATCTTAGGCTTCCTCATGGATAGACATGCAAACGATCATCTCAATCATTTCGTTGCACGCAATACTTTATTGGGCAAATATCCAAACATAGCCTAATTGCCTTACAGTGTAAGTGTGCCCAGTGGGCGACGGCAATTATGTAGACTATGACAGGAAACTCGTCTACAAGAATGACACTTGATTTATATACACATTTCTTAAATATTTGTTATTCTCGTTAGGTTTCCAAGAATTACATAAACATTGATATAACTTCACTTTCCAATATCAGATTGAAACAAACCATATATCAAATGAAAGCAGTAGTTTTAATCTATAAAACTAAACAGAAGAGAACAAGTAATTATTCATGGTAGAAAAGTAATTAGACTAAAACTGTCGAAAACATGCACGATCAAACATTCTTGAAATTGACACGTGACTATAGCATCGTTTATTTAACTTGAATTACGCCATCTACGCCGAAATAGCTATCTACGAAATGAAACCAATTTCGTGACACAACTCCCTTATTTTCCTTAGCTCGGTTACCGAGCGATATCTAACAACAATCTGCAAACTGCATATAACACATTTACAGAGAATAACGTCCATGGGCATCTAGGTATCCTTCCCACCGGAACCAGCGGTTCTAAGTTTATGCAGTACTGACTGAATTCTTCAACGAGAACTATCAGTGTCAGTTTGAGTTTCAGCATTCTTACTAGCAATTTCAGTCCACTCACTAGCCCATGCAGTCTCCGACGCCATTTTCCTAGATGAATATCGCAAGTCAAGTGGTGAAGGGGATCTTTCGTCGTTATCCAACTCTTCTTCTGGTTCGGGCGTAGATTGTCGGCTATGTCGAGGGGAAGCTTCCGATCCATCATGCTGTGGAGACTCCGGGGTCTTTTGACATGACGATTTCGTTGGGTCTCTTTGGGGCGATTTGGATTTTCGTCGCGATGAGCGGTAACGACGTGGTGACCTCCCTCGAGGTCGGTCCAATCTTGGATCATCACGTAGTGGCGACCGCCAGTCCATTCTTACATGACGCCACGATGCATCAGCTTTTTCAGAGGTCCCTGTTATTGGCGTGGAAGTGGGTTTGCATCTTGGCGAAGAAACAGGCGTTAAGCTGTGTTTTCTCACGGGAACCACAGCTACAGCGTGGGCTCCCTGATGCCGCTCTATCTCAGTCTTCCTACCCGTGCGATAATCACATTGGCCGCAACGATACTTCCGGATATGCACTTCCCGCTTGTGTCTTTGCAAAGAGTCTTTCTTCTCATAACTTTTGGTACAAGAGTCACATTGAAAGAAGTGGGTAGTCGCACGTCGGGCATCACCGTCTCTGTTTCTCTGCTTGTCGGATGTCATGTTCTTGCTTGCACTGGTTTCAGTGGGCATCGTCTGCTTGCACATTTCTGTGCCCATTTCTTCCAGCGCTGACAATGAGGCAATGGCAGTGCCTGCCTTTATGATCCCCTGTTCCCTTGTTGGATTGAACACCCTGACAGGCAACACATCTTCATCTGCCTTCACGACAGATCTGGCAACGATGGGTCCCTTTTTCCATAATTCGGTTGGGTTCACAGGAGATTCTACCAGTCCTTCACAAAGTGCTACCCTTTTACCTGTTACTCTGTCTGCTAGCACAATTTCGTGTCCTGGAGGAATTGAGTATTCCTTCCCCGCTACTATCCTTCTGCAGAATGATTCTCCTTCACTATCTAGGCATGGAATTATGCCCCATTCGGTCCTCAATTCCATCATCTGGCAGTCAAGTACGGCATTAATTTGAACTAGGAAATCTAGCCCAAGAATACCTTCGTTCTTGAGGCTGGCCACAGTAACCATTGTAGTGACAAGTGAATCTCCGATCTGCACTTCCAGCCTTGATTTACCTCTGGTCCTCAACGGGGTCCCATCTGCTTGTAGTACCACGCTGGTCACTGGTAATAACTCAGGTCTTCTATTATCCTCTATCCGGTCAAACACCTTATCTGAAATCAAAGTGTTGGTGGCTCCGGTGTCGATCAGTAATTTCAAGGACTGTCCATTGATTTTCCCTTCCAGGAAAAGTCCTTTCCTGTTAGGATCCTGAGACGAACCAACTCTGGTCTGCTCCTCTTCATCTGTCATCCCATTTGCAGTTGCCCACTGCAAGTTTGTATTTGCTTTCTCTGCTGCTGGTGGTGCTGTTCCTCCCCTAACTTTCCTTGGATAATGACATTGGTTCCTCCAGTGTCCCAATTCATTACAGTTGAAACACCGGTTATCTTCCCGTTCCGAGACTTTAGTTGGCATGGTTTGTTCCGGTCTCCTATCTGGTACATCTGGTTTAATTGTATTTCTCCCATTTCTCATGTCTAAGGCATCTAATACCTTCTTTACTATCTCATCGATAGTAGGATTCCTTGGTTGCTGTTCTCGGATGGGTGAAACCTCACACTCTTCCAGTGCTCGACTGTACGTGGTTGAACGCTTCACTTCGTTTCTCTGATCCTCCATCTTCAGGAAGGCCTCTGTATTTAAAGCTGCTTCCACGGCATCATCAAGCGTGCGAGGTTGAGCACGGAACAATCCTTCTCTTATTTCTGGTGTTACTACGGCATCCAGAAAATGCCCACGGGCTAGTCGGTCTTGTCCTTTTTCGTCGAACTCGGGGTAGGACAAAGCACACAGCTCCCGTATCGTTTGTCCTAATTCCTGGAGACTTTCCTTTGGTTGCCGACGACGCTGTCTCAACTCTGCTAGGTATACCTCAGCTTTACTTCCAAGACCAAACCGGTTCATGAGCCT